AATTTCTCTTTGGGATGATGAAAAGTTTTGGAAATACATAGTGGTGATGGTTGCACAACATTGTGAATGCAATTAATACCAATGAACTGTACACTTAAAAGGGTTAAAATGGCAAAATTTATGTTATATATATTTTTCCACTTTAAAAAAAATTAACAATGTAGTATACCCAAAACCACTGAATTGTGCACTTTAAATGGGTAAATAGTATGGTATGTGAATTGTGTCTCAGTAAGGCTGTTTAAAAAAACAAAAACAACTTTTCAATGATTGTGATCATGTGCTACAAGAATTTTTTTTTTACCCTGTTGTGTTAGTTTGCTAGGGCTGCTGTTACAAATTACCACAAACCGGGTGGCTGAAAACCCAGGAATTTATGGTCTTAATTATGATGGCTAGAAGTCCAAAATCAAGGTGTTAGCAGGGTTGGCTTCTGATGGTTTGCTGACAGTGTTTCACATTCCTTGGCTTGTAGATATATCACCCTGATTTTCTTAATCTTCATATGGTGTACTCCCTGTATGCATGACTCTCAGTGCAAATTTGTTCTGTTTATAAGGACACAGTCATATTGGAATAGAACCAACTCTAATGACCTCACTTAAGTTGGTTACCTCTATAAAAACCCTATTTTTCTTTTCTTTTTTCCACCCTTATTGAAGTATAACTGACAAATAAAAATTGTAGATACTTAAGATGTAAAATGTGAAGTTTAGATATACACATACATTGTGAAATGTTTAGCACAATCAAGTTAATTAACATATCCATCACCACACGCAGTTATCTTTTTTTTTTTTTTTTTTGCTGAAAACAGTTAAGATCCATTCTCTTAGCAAATTTCAAGGATACCATACAGTATTGTTAACTGTAGTCACCCTGCTTTACATTAGATCTCCAGAATTTATTCATCCTACATAATCTGAAGTTTTGTACCATTTGACCAACATTTCCCCATTTCCCCCACCCCCCAGTCCTTGGCAACCACCATTCTACTCTGCTTTTAAGAATTTGACCTTTTTAGATTCCACATATAAGTCAGATCATGCAGTATTTAAGGCCCGATTTTTAAATATGGTTGCATTCTGAGATACTGGTGGTTAGTGCTTCAACATATGCTTTTTGGAGGGACACAGTTCAACCCTTAGCACATATTTATGACTTGAGAGTGTGATATATTCATTTTTACTCCTTATTACATAATTGTCACAAACATAGTTTTAATGATTATAGAAGTATATCCATTTATCCAATTCCCTACTATTAAATATATATTTTTCGCTTTTGCAATATTATAATTACCATGAACATCTTTATGCACAGCTTTTTCAGTATCTTCTTCTTAGAACACCTACCTGGGAATGAAATTGTCAAATCATTTTAAGGCACTTGTTACATGCCACAAATCTTTGCAGGTATAAGAAGCATTTCTTGCCTTATTAGTAGATTGTTTATTAATCATATTTTCTCTTTGTGAATTATCTCTTTAAGTCATTTGCCCATTTAATTTTGTAGTCGTAATGTTTTTCTTATCCATTCATATAAACTCTTTGCATAGTAAAAATTGTACTTTTCCTTATATTTTCCACTACTATTTTACCAACTTATAATTTGCCTTTTAATTTTGGTCTTGTTTCTTTTTAAAATTATAGACAATTTGTTTTTACTTTCCTCAGTGTTTCTTCTATTGCTTCACAGCTTGGCCTGTCTTTCTTTTTTCAGAGTTTGCTAAGTATGTAATTCTGCTTTCTCCTGGTTGTTTCTATTGGGTTTAAAAATATTTAACTCTAATCAATTTGGAATTTGTTTTGCTAAATGGTATGATGTGAGAATCATTTTGTTCTTTTATTGCTAGCTAGTGGTTCCAAGTTCATTAGTTAGTCACTGCCTTCCTAGTGATTGAAGATGTCTCGTATATTGAGTTAAATCATTTTGGGGTGGAAATCTGTTACACTGATACTTATTAGGGATTTATAGTGTGTTTTAATATCTGAAAAGAATATTCTCTTCCCTTTTTTACTCTTCTTCCTTTTTCAGGATTTTCTTTGGTATTTTTAGCATTTTATTTTTGCCTATGTACTAGGAACATTTGTCTCCATCCCACACCCCTGCACTACCTCCCACATTAAAAAAAAATTTTTTTTTTGGTTTACAAGAAAGATAATTTGAGAAAAATTGAATACATATAATTTTTGTTTTTTTGGTGAGAAAGATCAGCCCTGAGCTAACATCCATGCTAATCCTCCTCTTTTTGCTGAGGAAGACCAGCTCTGAGCCTACATCTATTGCCAATCCTCCTCCTTTTTTTTCCCCAAAGCCCCAGTAGATATTTGTATGTCATAGTTGCACATCCTTCTAGTTGCTGTATGTGGGACGCGGCCTCAGCATGGCCGGAGAAGTGGTGCGTCAGTGCGCGCCCAGGATCCGAACCCGGGCCGCCAGTAGCGGAGCACACGCACTTAACCACTAAGCCACGGGGCCAGCCCTGAATACATATAATTTTAATCTTCCCCTTGGTATTTTTCTATGTTTTTTCGAGCCTTCTTTTACATCTTTTGTAAAGACTTGTAGTTTTTTCGTATAATTCAGACGTTATTCACTATTATTATTCCTCATATGTGTGTATATTAGTTTCTGGTGATTTTTGTTTGATCGTTTTTGCTATTAACAATGAAATTTTTTACTATGTTTTCTTATAGCTTATTCTGCTGTTTAGAAGTACTATTGATTTGTCTTTATCTTATATGCCTTTGTTTTACTCAACTTTATCAATTCTAGCACTTTTCAGTGGATTTATTTGCATTTTCTGGATGAACAGTTATATTAAATGGAAATGATAATGATTTTATCACTTTTCTTTCTAATATTCTTTTCTTATAACTATTTAACATATTACTTGGTCAGACAGAATATCTAAAAACTGATATTAAATGAGAGATAATGGAAAACATCCTTTTTGTTATTACTTCTGGTGTTTCACCAATAGGTATTATTTTTTCTGATAGCTTGAAATGGATACTTTTTAAGTTAGGAGAATTACTGTACTCTCTTTTTGTTTTATTTTATTGTGGGACTTGGGGTAGTATTTGGAATTAGTATTGGATTTTATCAAATACTTTTGGGCAAGGGTACCTACTGAGATTATCATATGGATTTATTTTTATTTAGTCTGTTAAAATAATGCAATTTTTGCACATTTATTAATATTTGCTAATACTAAATTACCTTCAATACCTACAATAAAACCTATTCTTTTGCAGTAGATTGTTCTTTTTTACATATGGTTTAATTTTGTTTGTCAGCATTTTATTTGGCTTTTTTACAACCTTAGCAATAAGTAAAGTGAGTCTATAACTTCTTTTGGTGGTGTCTTTGGTGGGTTTTGATTTCAGGGTAATTTTTACTTGAAACTTCTAGTACATGCCACTGCTATCCCAACAGCCAAACTTTACTAAACAGAACAGGAAACTAAAAGTGTTCTTTAGGTGATTAGAAAAAAGAAAGAGTAGTGTGGGTCAGTGGTCAGTGCCGCACATGTCAATTGAGGCGTCATTGTCATGGAGATGCATGAGAGTAAAGATCCAACTCGGTGTGGCTCTTCCCAGTTTCAGCAGAGCTTTGCACGCCAGGCTGCCTCAGAACCTACTGGACAGTCTGGGTCTTGCATATGGTAGGCACTTCATAAGTCATTGGAATAAATGGTTCAATATTACAGTTGCTACCCCAGAGACATTTCTCAGGTCCACGTTGATGACTTTGGTTTTTAAAAAAATTATATACCTCAAATGTGAAGAAGCCGGCATAGTTTTCTTTCGACTTTAAACCAACTGCTGTTACCAGTTTTTCTGCTCTTAATACCAGCTTCCAAAAAGGACACAGTGTCCTCTCGAGCTTGATATCTTGTTGTCACTAAACATAAGCCCATAGGTTCTTTGGGTTTTAAAAGTTTTATTGTCAATCATCTGGGAAAATAGGTAACATATAACAAAGTAATAGAAATAAGTTACAAAGCTCAGGAAATTTTATAATCCTAATCTCTGGCTGTATCTTTCTGTTTACCCTTTAGCCGTTAGCTGGAAGAACCTTTGGACTTTTACATTTTCCTTTCTTCCTTATTACTGAGAGTATATTTCAACCTAAGTTCTAAAAAGATAGCTTTCAACCAAATTTCTCCTTAATGCCCTACCTAAACGCAAAGAGACCTATCATTTTTTTCTAGAGAGGCTATGAAGATGAATGGATTAGGCCTTTGTCATTTCTCCCTGGACCACTGAAGAAGAACTTTTTACATTCTAGCTCTACCATCTTCTCCCTGAATTTAATCTTTTAAAGACACAAATGTATTTATGACCTTTTACTGGTTCCACATCAGAAATAGGATGCAGTTAGATTTTTCCCTCACTCTATACACCAACAATAATTGTATATAAATTAGAAATTAAATGTAAAACAAATAACTATATGAATACCAGCAGAAAGTACAGATAAATATATAACCTTGGTGTGGCTAAGACTGTAAAATACAGGGGCCGGCCCAGTGGCGCAAGTGGTTAAGTGCGCGTGCTCCGCTGCAGTGGCCCGGGGTTCGCCGGTTCGGATCCCGGGCGCGCACCGATGCACTGCTTGGCAAGCCATGCTGTGGCGGCGTCCCATATAAAGTGGAGGAAGATGGGCACGGATGTTAGCCCAGGGCCAGTCTTCCTCAGCAAAAAAAGAGGAGGATTGGCAGATGTTAGCATAGGGCTGGTCTCCTCACCAAAAAAAAAAAAAACAACAACAGACTGTGAAGTACAACAATAAAGGAATATACACTGAGAAAGATATTTGCAGCATACGACAGATGAAAGGTTAATAGCATTAATAAAATATTATTTTTATGTGATGATATACAAAAATAATATTCAGTTATATGAACAGTCCTTTGTATTATAGGAGGAAGTTATTATTTGATATTTCATTATTCTTATAGATGAACTAATCTTTTGTTATTACTTCTATAGCAGAAACAAATTAGTTACTCACCAGGAGTATGCAGCATAGAACATCAGCAAGAGATAACCAAATTAAAGACTGATTTGGAAAAGAAAAGTATTTTTTATGAAGAAGAATTGTCTAAAAGAGAAGGAATACATGCAAATGAAATTAAAAATCTGAAGAAAGAATTGCATGATTCAGAAGGCCAGCAACTTGCTCTCAACAAAGAAATTATGATTTTGAAAGACAAATTGGAAAAAAACAGGAGAGAGAGGTAAGAATCAAGTTATTTACTCATCTAATAAATATTTATTGAGTGCCTGTTATGTGTCGGTGACTGGAGATACATAGGCAGTAAGTGTATCCCAGTCCTCAAATAGACCAAAGTCAAGATTGCTAACTAGAAAACTGCAAGACAGTGTGATAGGCAAGCCAGTGGGTAAGTGTAGGAGTGCCCATAGCAGAGGCACAAAGATAACTTTGCTATGTCTAGGTTTTTTGGACAAAATCATTTCTAAGCTAAGACCAAAGAAATAAGAAATATATAAGAGTGTCTAGGCAGAAGTAGCAGAATGTGCTAAGATCTAGAGGAAAAGAGGAGCATGGCCCATTCAGAAAATGAAAGCATAAATTATGTGTAAGCATAAGAAGAAAGATGAAAGTGGTGAAAATGAGGCTGGAAAGGAAAACAGAGGCAAGATCATGAAGGAGTGTAAAGAATTTGAACTGTATCCTAAGGCCCTGGAGGGAAAATGACAATTACATTTGTTTTTGAAAGATTGCTCTTGCTACTGTGTGGAGAATGGATTGGAAGGAGCAGACTGCAGATAGGAATCTGACTGAGAGATGAGGCAGTTGGACCTTAGGTAGTGATAGTGAAGATGGAGAGAAGTGTTGGATTCAAAAGGTCTACTGAGAAGACAGAACCTGGAGGACGTAACGACCAGATGTGAGAAATGTGGAGCAGGAGAAATTATCAGTGATACTCTGGTTTCTAGATTTTAGGCAACTGAACGTGTGTGTGTTACTGTCATTCTCACCTTACATTGGAAGACTAAGTTTGTTCAGTTTGGTACATTCATTCAGCAAAATTTTAGAACCTACTATGTGTAAAGCACTGGTGTAGGCGCTGGGAACACAGCAGCGAACACACAACAAGTCTCTCTCCTTATGGAGCTTTCCTTGAGTTATGGTGAAAGACTATGAACAAAATAAGTAAAACATAGTATATATTAGATAATGTAAATGCCAAGAACAAAAAATAGGGCAGAGGATGGGGGCTATGAAACATGAAGGGGGAGGATTAAATTATTTATATAGGATGGCCAGGGAAAATTATACTAAAAAGGTAACTTCTCAATAAGGACTGAAGAAAGTGGGGGAGATATCTATAAATGTATGAGAAGAAGATTCTACACAGAGAAGAACAAGTCTGTTAAAAAAATAGTGAGATGGGGCCGGCCCAGTGGTGTAGTGGTTAAGTTTGCACGTTCTGCTTTGGAGTCCTGGGGTTCACCAGTTTGGATCCTGGGTGCAGACCTGCTCACCGCTCATCAAGCCGTGCTGAGGTGGCGTCCCATATGGAGGAGCTACAACTCTACAACTATCATACACAACTATGTACTGGGGCTTTGGGGAGAAAAAAGAAAACGAGGAAGATTGGCAATAGATCTTAGCACAAGGCCAGTCTTCCTCAAAAAAAAAAAAATAGAGAAGGCAAACTGTAGAGATAATAAAAAGATCAGTGGTTGCCAGGGATTATGGGGAGGGTGGGATGAATAGGCAGAGCACAGAGATTTTTAGGGCAGTGAACCTACTCTGTATGATACTATAATAGTGGATATATGTCATTATACTTTTGTCCAAATGCTGAGAGTGTACACCGCCACAAGTGAACCCTAATGTAAACCATGGACTTTGAGTGATAATGATGTGTGAATGTAGGTTCATCAATTGTAGCAAGTGTACCACTCTGGTGGGGGATGTTGATGTGGGGAGGCTGTGCCTGGGGGCAAGGGGATATGGGAAATCTCTGTACCTTCCTCTCAATAGTGCTATGAAACCAGAACTTTTCTAAAAAATAAAGTCTATTAAAAATAATAATAATGAGGCCAGTGTGGCTGAAGTAGAGTTAAGGGGAAAGAATAGTAGGAGATGAGGATGAGAGGTTGTGGGGGCCAGATCATGTAGAACTTTAAATCCTGTTCAGTTGACTTACAGTTATTTACTCTGAGTAAAACCATTGCAGGGAAGTATTGCAGGATTTTGAGCAGAAAACTGACAAATACTGAGTTGTGTTTTAACAGGATTACTCTAACTACTGGGTGAAGAATAGTCTGAATTAGGTAAGAGAAAAACCAGTGAAACCATTTAGCAAGCTATTGCAATAATCTGGGCAAAAGATGATGGTGGCTTGGGCCTAGGGTGATGGCAGAATTGGTGGTAAGAAATGTACAAATTCTAATATTATTTAAATATCATGATTTTTGCTGATGGAGTAGATATGGGGTGAGAAAAAAAGAGGAAGAATCAGGGATGATACTGAGGTTTTGGGCCTTAGCAATTAGTTGAATAGAGTTACCATTTAGGGAGGAAGACTACAGGAGAAGCACGTTTAGTGTGGGAGTATTATCAGGAGCTCATTTTAAACAAGTTATGTTTGAGATGTTTATTAGATATCTAGGTGGGGATGTCAAGTAGGCCATGGTATAGACCGGCCTGGATTTCAGGGTGAGAGAAAATCCTGGGAGTATTTATCACTCACATGATATTTGTCTTTTTTTTTTTTTTAAGATTTTATTTATTTATTTTTTCCCCCCAAAGCCCCAGTAGATAGTTGTATGCCATAGCTGCACATCCTTCTAGTTGCTGTATGTGGGACTCGGCCTCAGGATGGACAGAGAAGTGGTGCCTCGGTGCGTGCCCGGGATCCGAACCCGGGCCACCAGCATCGGAGCGTGCTCACTTAACCACCAAGCCACGGGGCCGGCCCCTCACATGATATTTGAAGTGGTGAGACTATATGAGATCACTTAGCAAATGAGTATAGAGAGAAAAGAGGTCCAAGACTGAACCTTGGGGCACTCCAATCTTTAGAAGTTGAGAAATGAGGAAGAAACAGCAAAATGGATAGAGAAAGAGCAGCAAGAATGATAGGAAGGAGATCAGGCGAATTTGGTGCCTGGAAGCCATGTGATGAAAGCATATCAACTCTGTCTACATGTCAAATGAGATGAGGTCTGAATCAGTTAAGAGAAGGACCAAATAATGGCAATTGAGTTTAATGGTATGAAGGTCATTGGTAACTTTGATAAGAACAGTTGCAGTGGAACAGTCAGGGCAAAGACTTGGGGGAGAGCAATTGGAGACAGAGGGTATAGTAACACTGTTATTACTTGGAGTCTTTTATTATAAAAGCAAGCCGTGCAATGAGGTCGTAGCTGGAGGAGAAATTTATCTCAAAAGAAGTTATTTTGCTTTTTGTTTTTGTTTTTATATTAGAAAAATAATACCACGCTTGTAGTCTGATAGCAATCATCTAGTAGATGAGTCAGGAGAGAGGAGAAAAGTGCTGAAGCAGTGTACTTGAGCAGTGCATAAGTGAAGGGATTGGCCTTCGCTGTTTTTACCTCTAGTAAGAGAAGAGAAAGTAGAGTATATGGGCAGAGAGGAGGGTGGATGGGCTGTGGGACCTTGTTTATGTGTTGAGCTCTCTTGAGTTGGGCATGTTGAATATGAGGTCCTTGGGAGACATCTTTGTGGAGATACCACATCAGCACTTTGAAGCCCAGAAGAGCTTCCCGTGTAGATTCAGAGTTGGTCAGCATAACAGATAATAATTGAAATCAGGTAGTGTGGTAGATGAGATAGCTCCAGGAAAATGTGCAGAGAGAGAGAAGAGTCAGCACCTGAGACAGGCTGCCTGGGAGCATTGGCATTTATGGGAAGGGTAGAAGAAGGGGAGTTCACAGAGGCCGCTGAAGAGACGTCAGAGATGGAGGCTGATTCCACACTGTGGTGTCACTGAAGCCACACTTCTCAGGATAAGGAGAAGGTAACGTTTCAAGAGGAGGGGGATGGACAACACTGTCAAAGGTAGCCAGTGGATTGGATGTAACAACAATTAGGACAGTGGTGAATTTTGAGTGGCAGAAGCCAGATTTTGGTGTCAACAGGCAATGGGAAAGTGGATACAGCAAACTTGCAAGATTTCAAGATGGTTATCAGTGAATGGGAAGACAAGGAAAGTGGAAAACGAAGTGTGACGTAGGGTTTAGGGGAGAGTTTGTTTATTTTGCTTAAATATGAGAGAGACTTAAGCTTTGTTTAATGCTAATAGGCAAAAACAACATAGTTTTACATAGAAATTGTACTCTTTAAATTGTACAACTTATTTGTGTACATATTTTTCTGAAAGGAGGCTTCTTTATAATTTTTCATGTTTTTGTTTATTTTTTGGAGTTGCTTCTGAATCAAGAAAGATTCTTAAACATAACTAAATTTCACATTTTGACTATAGATAATAAGGAAAGTGGCACATTGCTTGGACACAGGATGGTTTATTTTCCTGGAATTTATAATTTAAATTATAATTAATTTAATATTCATAATTCAGTAGTGTAAGGGATTTTTAAGATTACATTTTTAAAATCAACCATTACTTATATTCTTTGTTGACTTGGAAGCAATCATATAGAATTACCCAGAACTGATCCACACTGAATTTCATTTACTGCTAACATCCCCCATCACACCGCTATAGATGTGAGCCTTTTTATCCTCATTTCAACCCAGTGTTGGAAACTGATTCCCTTTCTCCCTTAGGAGGTTTTTTAAAAGTCTGTTAGAACTGTGTTTACCTCTAAGGGTGAGTCAGTTCTGCCCCCCCAGAACTATCATTTTAAATAAGTTTTATAATATTAAATTTGTTGTGCATGTGTGTTTATATGTGCAGGTAGGTAGGTACTTAGGTGAGAAGGAAGGAAGGAAGGAGCGCAAGAAGAAAGGGCTGAGTATATTGAGAGACCCATTGTAAATTTAATTGTGAATTTTCTGTGCAATCTAGAGCTGAGTATGAGGAATCGTACTGTGGTCCATATACCCTCCAGTTTCCCTAACCTCCTCATTTTCCCGTACTGTCTGGTATATACATAACCAAGTAAGATGAGCACAGTCAAGAAGGCTACAAATCGCATATGTCTTCCTCAGATTTTCAAATGAAAACCAAAGTGGATGTTATTAAGCAGACAAATCTAATTCAAAGGAAATGGTGGGGACTTTTCATTTTAAGGGAAAGGATTGGGATTTGGAACAATCAAGATATAGGTGGCTTTTCAGAATAAAGCATATGGTACAATAGGCAATCTGGGATGCCGTTATTTTAGCTTTAATTCAATTACTTTTTTTCCTTTTGTATTTTGAATTGTGTAAGTCAAAGTGAAAGAGAAGAATTTGAAAATGAGTTCAAACAACAGTATGAACGAGAGAAAGTGTTATTAACTGAAGAAAATAAAAAACTGACAAGTGAACTTGACAAGGTGAGTGATTCAATCTTATTTCTCTTCATGGAGCACATGCTAGATATTCAGCACTGTGGTAGAGATTGTGGATGTAATTTTATATTTGGTGTACATTTTTGTTTAATATTCCTCCTGACATGCAAGGATTACTTGAATGATACAGGTAATTTTTTGTTCTACCAATCTGTACAGGAGTCTTCTGGAGAGAGAATTTTGTTTATCTCATCTTATTCTTTGTCTCATTTATTTTTTGAGCCTCTATTCTTTATTTCACTTTCCATCTATTCTCTTTTTTACTCTTTTCTCTCATATTCGTTACTTGATCTGTCAGGGTTGGCTAAGTTCATGCTGGCCCTTGGCAAGAGCAGGATCAATTAGGTCAAACTGGGGATATTTTGACAACTGTGATGTCATATTCGTGATGGAGAATGGTAGTGGCTAGAAATAATACCATTGGTAGGTAAGTGTCCAAAGAAACCCACTGCCTAAACTCTGTAGCTTGAATAAAGAGCAGAACCATACGTTAAACTTCAAAGTAGCCAAATTTATGAACAAATTTCAAATACTTAAGTTAATGTTTTTCCATTTTGTATCTTAGATTTCTCAAACTGCTATCATTTTGCATTTCTTGTGCCAGTTTATTAAACAGTTGTAAAAATCCTAATATTAACCAGAAGGTTTAATAATTTTATTTACATTTAAATAAGAAGGTTTGGATAATTGTGTTTATGATTATTCTAGAGTTTTCCTCCAATAAAAGTATTATGTTCGATTAGTTGTTCCAATAACAGATTGAAAGACCATGACTAGTCGTAAAAGAGAGACTTCATTCTATCTCAGTTTTCCGTATATCTTTCTCTCACCACTTTCCCCATAATTATTTAGTTTTCTGAGCGTTTAAAAATAACTTTGCTTGTTTGGCTGAAAACTACTTGAGAAAGAACTCTGTTAGTTCATTTTGTAAAGTCTTATAGAGCCGATGTACAAGCACTGTGGAAAGTGGCCAAATAGTAAGTCAGTATAAATGGATTTTTTAAACTATGAATAGTGTATGTATGAACGTTATCATGTGACTCTTAGGTTATTTCCACTAAATAAAACTAACAATATTTGAACTTTATCCAAATAGGTCATATAGTTGTTATTTCATATGTTTGACTAATATGACTACAAAATTAATCATTTCTGTCTACAAGACGGAATTTTAAGATTCTGTTAAGAGTTATCTTGAGGTAAGAAATATTTTTAAACTCTAGAAGGCCACTTCATGTAGGATTTCTAAGCAAATTACCTAGTAAAAGATAGTACTATAGGTGAAGAAAAATTGAATTGGGAAATAGTCAAATTGAATGTAGATTAAATCTTGTATTCACCCCTTGGTTTTATTTCATTATTAACCATAAAGTTCTGCTGAGTTTACCAAAAAATACATATTTAGAGATAATTTTTGTGTGTGTGTGTGTGAGGAAGATCAGCCCTGAGCTAACATCCATGCCCATCCTCCTCTTTTTGCTGAGGAAGACTAGCCCTGGGCTAACATCTGTGCCCACCTTCCTCCACTTTATATGGGATGCCACCACAGCATGGCCTGACAAGCGGTGCACGCCCAGGATCTGAACCCGGGCCACCAGCAGCGGAGCACACGCACTTAACCGCTACGTCACGTGGCCAGCCCCAGAGATAATTTTTAAACAATACTCTTTTGATTCTGATGAGACCTGAAGGATAAAAATAAAAGTGTATCTCCTAAGTTTATAAAAATAAAACATTACCTTTTCTTGGTATGTTGAAAGATATGGTGAAGGATGTGAGTAGAACTTTGAGAGCAAATTTGGTAAGCAAAAGCAAAATGGTAAGCAAGTATTCAATGAAAATGATAACAAGGAACTGTTTATTCCTGGAGAAATAGGGGAGGGTCTGGGGTTTCTGCTTCCATTTGAACCTCTTCTCTACTTTTGCTCCTTTTATTCAGCTTTTGCTTCTCTCTCTACATATCTCTGAGTCTACCTAACTGCACATCTTCACTGTCTCTTTCCATTTATTCGTTTTCTGGTTTGCTTTGAATTGGGTATTTTCCTCACGAGGGATGACCAAAGAATACCTTTGCCGTTGCTACACCAGCTCTTCCGCTGGAAACCAACTTGGAGAGAACTGGATTGCTTCTCAACAGAACTTCAGACGCAGAAGCCAAAAAGCAATTATTATATTAATTTTAAAACTTATATAACTAATAACTAAGAGATTCTCACATTCATGTTTCTAAACTCCAAAAATAAAAATTAAAAAGTAAATAGAAAAAAAGTATATTGATATTTTCAGAAGTCTGTAAGGTCCACTTTTATTAAAAGATAACTTATTGCAAGTGAAATTAGCCATATTTGCCAGGGAGTGAAAGTAAATGGTTTCTAGTAAGAAAACATATCATTTGTGTCTTGTTTTTAAATTATTATTTTCCAAAAAAGCAAAATTACAAGAAAATGTGGAAAATATTCAACATGAAAGTTACCCATGATCTCATCACCACAGCTATTTTAATTTTATATGTTCCTTTCCTGGTTTTGTTTGTATACCTATTATTGCATAATTGCAGTCATGTATACATTCCATTTTCTAATCTACGTTTTCACTTAAAATGTTATGAGCATTGTTCCATATTCCTATGTTGTCTTATAATTATTATAAGCTAGATATGTCAATGTACAAATAGTAAAACCTTCTTATTCCCTAACATAAAAAATGAACTATTACTTAGGTAGAATTAACTATGTGCAGGTCTACTTCTGAGTTACTTATCATTTAATTCTCACAATAACTTTCTGAGATATACCCTATTATTCTCACCATTTTATAGATGAGGAAACTGAGGCAAAGGGACATTAAGTTACTTTCCTAATCGCAGAACTAGGAAGTAGCAGAATGGGATTGGAACAAGGGTGGTCTGGCTCCAGAGTCTATTCAGTAATAATAAAAAGATTAACTTTTATCTGACTAATACTAAACAAATCTATTGAAAACTACTTGTAACTCTTGTAACAAAGCAGTACAAAATCTGCATTTCCTCCTCTTCTTGCAAATCTCCAGCTGAAACCCCAACCACATTAGTTGGAAGGGCTGTCAAAAGCAATGGTAATCAATAAAGGATGTGTTGTGAGAATTAGTGAAGACACTGCATCTGCAAAAAACGTTCTCAGAAGCAGCTGGTAGACTTATGGCTATGCTAACTTGAAGAGATTGACGAATCCTTTCAAGAAAAAGAAAGTTTCAAAGTGGACATAATGTCCAAAAAAAAAAAATTTCAGAATTCTTGGAATTAACCAGCAGAAGACAACTACAGAACATCACTGAGATAAATTAAGGAATATCTAAACAGATAGAGAGATATACCATAATAATGGGTTGGAAGACTCTATTGTTAGGATGGCAGTTCTTCCCTAAAGGATCGTAGATTCAAGGAAATCCTTAGCAAAATTCTAGTAGGCTTTTTTGTTGGAATTGACAAGCTTATCCTTAAATTTATAGGGGAATACAAAAGGCCTATCATAGCCAAAATACTTGGGGGGGAAATAAACAGAAGTTGGAAAATTTGCACTATGGAATTTTGAAACTTACTATAAATCTACGGTTATCAAAAGACTAGTATTGGCATAATGGAATAAAGACTCCAAAAATTAAGTCCTCATGTTTATGATCAATTGATTTTCAGCAAAAGTGCCAAGCCAATTCAATAGGAGAAGAATAATCTTTTCAACAAATGGTGCTGGAACAATTGGATATCCATGTGCAAAAAAATTAACTTAGATCCCTACCTCATACCATATACAAAAATTAACTCAAAGTGGATTATAAACTGAAAACTATCATTTGTAATGATAAATTGGACTTCATCAAAATTTAAAGACAGCATTAAGAAAATGAAAAGACGTACAGAGATGAGGAGGAAACATTTGCAAATCGTTATCTCATAAAAGACTTATATTTGGAGTATATAAAGAACTCTTAAAACTCAATAATAAGAAATAATACAAACAACCCAATGAAAAAATGGGAAAAGATTTGAGTAGACATTTTATGAAAGAAGATATATAAATAACAAATAAGCACATGAAAAGATGTTCAGTATCATTAGTCATTAGGAAAATGCAAGTTAAAACCACAGTAAGATACTGCCCTACGCTCTCAGTGATGAGTGTATTCAATAAGAGTGACCATACCAACTGTTGACGAGGATGTGGAGGAACTGGGACTCATACACTGCTTGTGGGAGTATAAGATGATATAGTCACTTTAGAAAATAGTTTCAAAATTTCTCCAAAAGTTAAGCATACACTTAACCATATAACCCAGAAATTCTCTTAGACATTTATCCAAAAGAATTGAAAACATAGTCTCCTTAAAGACTTGTGTATAAATGTTCATAGCATCATTATTCATAATAGCAAACAACTAGAAACAATACAAATGTCCATCAACTAGCGAATGAATAAAGTATAGTAATATCCATATAATAGAATACTACTCAACTGTAAAAGAGGAATGAATTTCTGATACATACAACACCATGGTTGAACCTCAATAATGTAAGTGAAAGAAGCCTGATACGAAAAACTACATATTGTATGATTTCCTTGATATTAAATTTCTAGAAAAGGCAAAGCTATAGACACAGAAAACAGATCTGTGATGCCTGGAACTCAGGATGGGAGCCAGGATCAACTGCAAACCAGCTATAGGGAAATTTCTCAGGTATTGGAAGTGTTCCAAAAGTGGATTGTGGTGATTGGTTTTTTTTGGTTGTTGTTGTTGTTTTTGTGAGGAAGATCAGCCCTACATGCCAATCCTTCTCTTTTTGCTGAGGAAGGACCAGCTCTGAGCTAACATCTATTGCCAATCCTCCTTCTTTTTTTTTCCCCAAAACCCCAGTAGATAGTTGTATGTCATAGTTGCACATCCTTCTAGTTGCTGTATGTGGGACGTGGCCTCAGCATGGCCGGAGAAGTGGTGTGTCAGTGCGCACCCAGGATCCGAACCTGGGCCGCCAGTAGTGGAGAGCGTGCACTTAACCGCTAAGCCATGGGCGTGGCCTGGATTGTGGTGATTATTGCACAACTGTTTAAATTTCCTAAAAATCATGGAACCATGCATTTATAATGGGCGAATTTTATAGTATGTAAATTATACTTCAATAAATCTATAAAAAAAAGAGAATAGCTGGTAAAATACATTTTCAGAGGTAAATGGCACACCCTGAGACACAAACTTTAAATCCTGTGTTCTCAATAGGCAGATAAGGTTGTGTGTTGGCCGTGATAGCTTCTGTGGACCCCATTTCCTTCTGAGAAGACAGTGAGGTTGAAAGGAATAGTAATTACTAATGGAAGATTGAGACCATTTATCAGGAAAATGTAGCCATGAAATAAAAATTGTCTGCAAATATTTTATCAGGAATTTTTAAAAATTTAATAAAGCAAGAACTTTTGCTTATGACTATGACAGATTAGCTTACATCATACCCACCACGTCATCAGGAAGACCTATAAAGCTGGATTTTTAAAAAAAAAATTTAATGCTATATAATACTTTCTACAGTATTCATCTGCAGAAGGCATTGGAGAAATAAGAAAGCAGGCAAGACTTTACTGATCAAGATCCTATAAGGAGTAGTGCAGAGAGATGAGCCCAACATTCAGTGCCACTTTTCTTCTTGAGGCATTTGCTGATAGGAAAGCCAAGATAGGGAAAGCTGAGAATCCAGGAAGCTGAATACAATATTCTACAGTCTCACAAGTTTGGAGAGATAAAAACTGAATATCAGTGCCCACCAAGGTGCCAGATCCTTGGTAATCAATTCAGGCTTTCAACTGGACTGGTCTAAAGGCTACATTTTAGGAATAAGGGTGAACCAGAAAGAGATGAGATCTCTCAATGACTGAAACTCAGCCTCTAAGTAATTAAATCCCTGATCTATCTGTAGTTTCCTGCCAGAAGTAAAAGTAAATAGTCTCTGGAGGCAGATGTTATATAGAGCCTCAAATTATCTTGTATATGGCATGCAGTAAAAAATTTTCATGTACAATGTGTGGCATGCAGTAAAAAATCACCATGCCTACTAGGAGATACAATCAAATCACTGAAAATTAAGAGAAAAAAATATAACAGCAAAAACAAAATAAGAAAAGAAAAAATGAAAAGAAAATCAGGCAGTCAGGTTAATTAGACCCACAGGAATTCCAAGTATTGGAATTTTCATAAATGAACTTTGTGTGATATGTTCAAGAAAATAGAAGACATGATGAAGAATTTCAGCAGACAACTAGAATCTATACAAACGAGTAAAATAGAATTTCTAGAAGTGAAAAATAAAATAACTGAAATACCCAATAGAAGATTAAACAGCAAATTGAAAGAGCCAAAGAAAGGAGTGGGTAAGTAACAATATTTCCAGACCAAAGTAGGGATAGAGATTTCAAAGGATGGAAATACATAAAAGAGGACATGAGGTGTAGGGGACATGATGAAAAGATCTGACATACGAATATTTGCTTTCCCAGAAGGAAAGGAGAGAGAGAGCGTAACAGAAGCAATATTTGAAGAGTTAATGGCCCATAATTTTCCAAAATGTATGAAAAACATTTAGCCACAAATTGCAGAAATGCCACAAGCCCTAAAGGTGATATGTAAAAATTAAATCCCATTAGGCACATCATAGAGAAACTGCTGAAAACCAACAACCAGAGAAAATCCTAAAAGCAGCCAGAGAAGAAAGACACGTTATATTCCAAGGAGCAAAAGTTCAACTAAAAGCTGACTTCCCAACAGAAACACTGGAATCCAGAATAAAAAGAAATGACATCTTCAAAGTGCTGAAGGAAAATAACTGCCAACCTAGAATATTATAGACAGCAAAGAGTATCTTTCAAAAATGAAGGCAAAAATTCAGGCTACAGAAAACTCTACAGGACAAAGAACCTACTTTCTTCAACAAATAAATTACAAGAGAAATAAAAGTGTTGGAGGGGAACCTCTATGGACTGAATGTTTGTGTCCCTCCAAGATTCATGTGTTGAAAGCTGATCCCCAGTGTGATGGTATTTGGAGGTGCGGCCTTTGGGGGATGATTAAGTCATGAAGATGGAGTCCTCATGAGTGGGGTTAGGCCTCCACTGTGTGAGAACACAATCGAAGATGGCCAGCTGGAACCAGGAAGCAGGCCCTCGCCAGACGCCAAATCTGCTGGTGCCTTGATATGGACATCCCAGACTCCAGAACTGTACGAAATAAATGGTTCTTGTTTAGGCCACCCAATCTATGGTACTCTATTGTAGCAGCCCGAAACGACTAAGACAGGAGCCTATAAACAAGAGACTTAAAAGATGTAGCAACCATCAAGCAATGTCTATTTGTTGGTATCATGATTCAATTTAACAAACTTAAGTTTTTTGATATTTTGAGATAAGTGGAAATTTGAACAATTAATACCTGTGTGATGATATAAGGGAAACTGTTAAATTTGTTTAAGCAGGATAATGATTTTGTGGTTATATTTAAAAAGAGAGGGCCGGCCCCATGGCTTAGCGGTTAAATGCATGCGCTCCGCTGCTGGCGGCCCGGGTTCGGATCCCAGGTGCACACCGATGCACTGCTTCTCCGGCCATGCTGAGGCCGCGTCCCACATACAGCAACTAGAAGGCTGTGCAACTATGACATACAACTATCTACTGGGGCTTTGGGGGAAAAAAATAAATAAATAAAAATTTTAAAAAAATAAAATAAAAAATAAAAAGAGCCTTATTTTCTAGAGAGATACACAGAAATATATATGGATAAAATTATATGATGTCTGGTATTTGGTTCAGAATAATACAGGAGGAAGGGGTAAGAAGACAGGAGTACAAATGAAGTAAGATTGACAGTGAGGTGATAATTGTTGAAATTCGGTGATGGGCTCATGGGAATTCGCTTATACTCTACTGTCCATTTTTGGATATGCTTGAAATTCTTTATAAGTTTTAAAAAAAAAAGAGAATGACCTAGAGACATTTTTAGACAAAAGAAAAAGAGATGTAACCAGCTGAATTGGGAAGTATTTCAGGCAAATGGAGAATGTTCACAAATGGAACTGATTCAGTGTAGGGAGTAAGGGAAAAGCAAACACGGGGGCATTCTGAGTACTCGATGTTTCCAAATTCAGTGACCAGAAGGGTGCATAATAATACGAAATCAGGAAGACAGGCATTTTTGAGTGGAAAGTGGTAAGTTCTCACATTTGACAAGAGGCATCTAGGCACCTTGAATTCCTGCTGCTAAAAGTCACATGTGTCTTAATTGTCTTAAAACTGCCTTTCAGCTTACCACTTTGTATGAGAACTTAAGTATGCGCAACCAGCAGTTAGAGGGAGAGGTGAAAGATCTAGCAGACAAGAAAGAATCCGTGGCACACTGGGAAGCCCAAATCACAGAAATCATTCAGTGGTGAGTACTCTTTCAAATGTGTTCTTGTGGGTGATTTTGGGCATTTGGGCTAGTTGGTATGAATTCCAGGAGGCTACTAACATATTTTTGATCTGATTTCTTGCTATGAAAAATAAGTTTCCCTGAAAAGCATAATTTTATTTCGGATCTGTTATTTATTACTGATCTGTGTTGTTTTGTGTTTTCTGTGATGTTCCTCTGTTCCCTAACTCCAACAAACGTCCTATATCAGCTTTTATACAGCTTCCTTGAAAGCTGATATTTCTTTCTAATAAATGTTGTATATAAAATATATATATGTTATATATATATAATGTTATTTATAAAATAAATAAAATGTTATTCTCCCCTAAGACAGTCAGTCCTTAAAGAACTTAAAGAAAAAACTCATTCACTAGCTATAGATGTTTCTTTCTTGGATCAGAATTGCTGTATGTGTGATTATTTTAAGAAACAGGAAGCCTGGAGAAAAACTTAGAAGTGGAAGATGTTGTGCCATTACCTTCTCTCATAATAACAGATTGATCACACGTGGCCTTTTAAAAACCTTAAATGGTTACAGTTTCGTTTTATCAACTGTTCTTTAAGCTCCTAGGATTTAATTTAGAATAACTACCTTAGTAACTTTTATGTTAATTCATTCATTAAATGATTTTTCTGGTATTTGTAAAACTTTGTATATAATACATGAAGAAAGTAGAATCCAATGGGGATTTTATTTTCTAATGAAAATAGGTAGCTTAACTTTTTATATTTACTTTTTAACTCTTTTTGGCACATCATTAATTTTTATAAAAACAACTAGTTTCTTCATATATCTATAGACCAATCATTTGGTGGGAATTTTAGTTTCTTGTGCTCTTATTTTGGTTCTTTAAGCATTTTTCCCATTTTCTACTTATACCAGATTAATATCCTCCTTCTTAAATAAAATCAGAAGTGACTAAAGTGTCTCTTTAAGTAATCTTACTCAAATGACTCAAGTGTTCTGATATTGGCTTAACTGTAGAGCTCTTATGTTAACTCATCTTTGGCTTATGAATGTGACTATTCAGTGCATATCTAAAGGATAATGCTCAAATTGTGGAAATTTGGTTGTGTTCCAAACAGTACAGTTAATGGTTCATTAATGTTTAATTTATGTCCTTGTCATCAAGTCTACATTTCTGAAGCAAAATCATTTGAATCTTTAGCCAAGCTTATGATATCAAAAATTACAACCCTTCATTTGTAACTCCATTATTATGTAATCAAATTTATAATTGAGATGTTGCTGAAAAATAGTCTACAGAAGACAAAGCTGATCTGGCCAAAGCCTGAGATCCTAGACACTGATCTTTTCCAGTGACTCGCGAGATGGGTTCAGATGTAATGGGAAGTGGTTCTGGTAAAGGAAGGAAGCTTTAAATATGGACTGTCTGGACGGGGTTGGTAGAAAGGATGACGATGAAAGTTCTTATATGGTACCACAAAATGCTTGTTTTACACTTGCCCATTCAAGTGAAATATGCGGAAGAAATCAGGAATAATATAAGGAAGTCACTTTGCATAAAAGCTGTTATTTAGAAATAGACTAATTTATTAGCTAAATTGTTAAATACCTAATCGGCTGAAAGTACAAGATATACTCCCTGTACTCAGAGTTCTCATCACCTACTTGAAAGTTAGCTCTGAGATATTCTATTCAAGCTTATAAAAGTCAAAAGTCACAGGCTATTTCCAGTTGTTTAGTCTGGTACATTAAAAAATGAAGTAATGCCAAAACAAGGCTTGGAAACCTGTGATATACAGTATTTTAAGTGTTTCCATTGGACAAATAAACAGTTTTAAAACAAAACAAACACTATTGTTTATAAGACCTCATTTGAATGCATTTCTAATGGCCGTCTTACTCTGCCCCCTCTGCCTTTTCCTGTGAAATAGCCCTTTCGTATGAAAGAAATACAGCTCTATATTGCTCATCGCTGTATTAGAGCAGGGACCTTTCTTCTCACCCTTGGCTCATCAGAAGACTCCACTCTTCTCTTTGAAATGATATTACAAAAAAAGGTTGGAGTAATAGGCTAGTCCATAAGATTCATTTTTTAAATGTTATGTCCTCACATTTAAAGCACTCTTCTGGTGCAATAGGAGATAGAAAGGTCTATAAAATATTGCACTTTGTTTTCAGGTAGCTCATAACGTAACATTTAACAGTTTAAAAACTAATGTGACCAGAGCTGGAGATGATTTACAAGACTTAAATGTGAATTGTCTTATGTATTGGACAAATACTGATTTTTCTATCGGAGTATAGAGGAGAGAGAATTACCTTTGACTAGGTACTCAAGAAAATTGGGGGTAATCAGTTGAACTATAACGTGTTTTCTGAAAACACTTGAGTTTAGTAGAGAGTCCACCTAGTTTGACTAAATTGGAGAATTCATGTAAAAGAATAGTAGAAAATAAGACCAGTAAAGTTACTGCAGTGCAGTTACCGTGAATACTGGGTAAGAATTTGAACTTCATTTATTTATAAAAAGAAGGAGAAGGTTTTTGTAAAGGATAATGGCATTGATTAAAATAATGCATTAGGAAGATAACTCTTCACTGTGGTGTTCAGCATGAAAACAAAAGGAAGTTTGGGGAAAATTGAACAAATGGAGAAGACATTATGGAAGAATAATCTATAGGACTTAATTATAAATGAAGGGCAAGAGATGAGGAATTAATGTTTCTGAATCTCTGAGTTGGAGATATTCAGAAAATGATGATATCATTGAAGTAGGAAAGAGGGGAGAAGGAACCAACTTTGGGGAAGATGATATAATCAGTTTGAGTTGTTCTTTTATTTTTGTTTGTTGGTGAATCTGAGGTCATCCTGAGACCTCTGAGTGGATATTTCCAATATGCTTTTGAAAAGACGACATAAAGGTTAGGATTACAAAATATAAATTTGGGGATTTAATTTCTGGTAAATAAGGTCATTGAAGTTGTTGAGATCTTTTTAAAGAGAAAAGAAAGAAGGATAATGGTGAGGGCGACATAATAGAAGATAGAGGAAACAGCTGTGTAAGACAACCAGGAAAATGTTTTAATGATCAGAAAGGGTTTCAATAATGTAACAATTTATTTCAGTTTATTTATATTCACTCACATTATTTGAAATACTCCTCATTCATTAATCTTCATTTGTGTATAGTAATAGCATATGTTGATTAAAACATAGTATGTTCCAGGCATTAGGCTGAAAATTCACATGTATTCTTAGTTATGACAACAGTCCTATGAGGCAGGTATTATTATTATTATTCCCATTTTATAGGTGAAATAACTGAGAGTTAGAGGGGGTAAATGACTTATCCACAGTCACACAGCTGGTAGGCAGCCAGCTGGGATTTGAACCCAGGCCTATTTGACTCAAGAATCAAGTTCTTAATCACTCTGCTGTATATGTCCTAACTCCTCAACTTTGTAAGGACCATATCTTATGTATCTTCTTCTGTTTTCCTAATAGACCCAACATAGTAGTCAGTATTTAATAAATATTTCTTGATTAACTATGTGAAAGAACTTGGGAGGAGAGGATTAGATATGCCAAAAGAACAAAATAGATCTAAATTGGCCTTTTGTAGTTGAGTAGTTATTTTAATAGACTGCAGTTTCAGCAAAATAGTTGAGGCAGAAATCAGACTTCAGAGAGTACGTAGGAGTGAGTGAAGAGTTAACTACTAGAGCAATTAGGTATAAGTTGTATAACAATGAAAGGGGGAGAGAAAAAGGATGTTGGAGTTGGGGCAGCTAGAATAGGGAACTTTTTGCATTAGGAAAGGTCTATGCATTTTTTTTTTTAATAATTTTATTTATTTATTTATTTTTTCCCCCAAAGCCCCAGTAGATAGTTGTATGTCATAGCTGCACATCCTTCTAGTTGCTGTATGTGGGATGCGGCCTCAGCATGGCCGGAGAAGCCGTGCGTCAGTGCGCGCCCAGGATCTGAACCTGGGCCGCCAGCAGCGGAGCGCAAGCACTCAACCGCTAAGCCACGGGGCCGGCCCTATGCATGTTTAAAGGAACAAATGGAAATAATGAGACTGAAAATATAAGATGTGGTAGAGAAGATAATTATTTGTATATAGTAACAACTGTGGGATTAGGAATACATTTAAATGACTTAACCACAGAAAAGATGAGAGACTTGCCTCTAAAACTGTTAAAAAAAAAACAAAAAAAGTTAAGAGAAGTTTGAGTAAACTTAACCACACGGCCTAGAAGAAAGGGGCAAGACATAGTGTTGGGGCTGGGGAAGTGAGGTTTTTTTAGAGATGAAGGTTGGAAAGAGACAAATAGCAATGATTATGAAAAAGAATTGTGGAACTTAAATGGCATGAGTTTGTAGCTGACCGAGTCTTTTTTTTTTTCACCCTTCCCACCAGTAATTTTCTGTAGCCAAGAAAATAGACATAGGTTTAATCAAAAGTTGAGAATTAGTGGAAGACCACCGTAGTAAGGGGATGTGGATGTATTCAACACGTAAATGAAAAGCAAAGTTAGAAGAGATTGTTTTTTATAGAAGATTTCAAACAACATAAAAGTGATTTACAAGAAGTTATTTGATTTCCTGGAAATGTGCGTAAGCCAAGATCTCTGAGCTGTGGTAGATACTAAACTAGCACTAGTTGAGGCCAATTAGCCTGGCCATTTAAATGATAATATAGTTTCCTTCATTGTTACTATGTAAGTGTCTTTCGTTGTATTCTACAAAAATAATCTTTCTCCATCCCCATTTATTTATTTATTTTTATTTTTATTGAAGTATGGTTGACATACAATATTGTATTAGTTTCAGGTGTACAACATATAGTGATTCAACATTTATTTACATTACAAAATAATCAACCTGCTAAGACTAATAACTATCTGTCATCATACAGAGTTATTACAGTATTGTTGACTATGTTCTATATGCTGTACATTATATCCCCATAACTTACTTATTTTATGACTGGAAGTTTGTAGCTCTTAATCTCCTTCACCTATTTCATCTTTTCTCACATCCCCCTCCCCTCCAGAAACCACCAGTTTGTCCTCTGTATCTATGAGTCTGTTTCTGTTTTGTTTTTTTTGTTCATTTGTTTTGTGTTTTTTAGATTGCACATGTAAGTGAAATCATACAATATTCTTCTTTCTCTGTCTGGCTTATATCACTTATACTAAGTGAAATAACCCATTTATTCTTTATACTACAGATTAGATGATTAAATGAAAAGATTGTGGTCACTTGTGGTATCCACAGGTAAAGAATTTTAAAAGGAAACAGCCTCCCACTACACAAACTTTCTTAATATTTCCTAAAGCCATTTTTCTTTAAAAGGCAATAAAAATATATATATTTACGTAGAGCCTAAAAATTTGTAACTGTCACTAGAGTGGGCAACTTCTTACCATGATTTTATTGCTTCTCTGTTTCGATTCTTTTGCTTGTCTTCCAAAACACCTTTCCATCTGAGAGAAGAAAGGACCAATCCCCTTTTAAAGGACCTCTTTAAGATATATATATATGATATGTTATATATATATATATATATATAAATGTATAAATTCATATATATATAAATTTGACTGCTCAGGAGTTTAAATTTTAAAAGATGCTAAAGCAATGCTCAAGATTTAAACTTGTCTGCTGTACACATCACAGATATGTATTGATTTACCTGAAATATACTTTCCTTATAGCTGTTCAGTGGCCTGAATTTTATCCGTGAAAACAACCAGCTTGCGCAAAGGCAAACAATCTTCCCCAAAGTGCATTAGAATACGCTTCTGAGCATTACAAATTTCAACTTCATGTTTTTTTACTGAAACTGAGTTTCAGTAGATTTTAATCTTTTCTCTTTGATTGGTATTTCATTGACCAGTTTAGAAACAGAAGAGCTTTATTACAATGTTTTTTCTGATTTTTTACAATATTCTACTTTAAACTAAACTTTCTAAATACAGTGTACTTTGGTTTTAAGAAGGGTGTGTTGTATTTTCATAAGATAAAATAACAGAATCTTAATATTCTTTTGAAATCATGTGAGTATGTGGGTGTCTGCATTTAATGTCAGATTAAAAGAGTATTAATTCTGTGGTCAAGGCAAAGGTTTACTAATTTGTCAGATATAAGTAATTTGGACTTTCTGAAACATGGCCAGCTTTGTGGACTTTGTGGAACAGTTCAGTAAACCTCCTCCCACCTGTTGGCAGATAGTAGTACTGTGGTGGACCTTTTGAAAGAAGATATTTGAGAACATTAGTAAATTTCTAGCACTTATTTCTTTGTGGTGCTTTAAATAACATATATGTCACTGAAGTCTTTCTGTTTGTTTAACTTTTGCACTTTATCTCTGTCTTTATATGTATACATTCTAGGGTCAGTGATGAAAAGGATGCACGAGGATATCTTCAGGCCTTAGCTTCTAAAATGACTGAAGAATTGGAAGCGTTAAGAAATTCCAGCTTGGGTACACGAGCAACAGTAAGCTCTGCCATTTTGCTTAGAGGTTTATTGTATTAGGAGGGGGAAAAGGCTCAAAAAACACTATAGTAAATCTGAGTATTTCTCTCAGTTTGTCTAGGCTTTAGACTACTCTGGGGTTTTTCATGAGGCCTCAGTTAGTCCATGTCTTTTCCAGTTTAGGAAATCATAATACATAGCTGCTTAACTGTAATTTGTATGGCTAGCGATTATTGGTAATTAACTATAAAAAATAAACTCATTTATATGTGAGTCTACAATTATTTCTGAATTTAATGAAAAATAAGATATTTTCACAAGAAATGTTTCTGTTCTGTTATTAGAGAAAGTGCTTTTAAGTAGTTTCCAAATTCACTTGGATTACTAAATTTAAATGTTCAAAATAAAATAGGATGGAGCTGAAAACACAGTCATATTATTTCATAGGATATGCCCTGGAAGATGCGTCGTTTTGCAAAACTGGATATGTCGGCTAGACTGGAGTTGCAGTCAGCTCTGGATGCAGAAATAAGAGCCAAACAGGCCATCCAAGAAGAGCTGAATAAAGTTAAAGCATCTAACATCATCACAGAATGGTAAGATTGAGTAATGTAGCCCTGCTAGAATAATATCTAAGTTGGTCCAACAGTATTTGGAGAGAAGTTACATGTTTAATTTCCTACCTATCACTTTCGTTTAAGTGATGATCAGAAAAAGTTATGAAGATTTAAAATGAATAGATGTTTTCAAGCCTTATATGCAGTTGATGGGATTTTAATACAGCCTTGTTTTTCTTTGACTTATCCAGAAAGTGAAATTAATAGTACTAATTAATATTCCATTATTTACTTTTCTCCTTATTTTTAAAATTTAATTGACTCAAATTTTATTCCATTAAATCCAAAATTCTCTCATGTTCAAGAATATCATATTAATAACAAAATACAGTCATCTGAAAATTCTGGCCTCTACCATAGATCTTTTACAAATAAAGGTTCAATTGAGGGCAGATTTCAAAATGGTATAATATATTTTAATTATAATTGTTTTTCGTGTTCTTTTATGTATTAAAAATAAGTATATCCCCCACAGTCTCTGGGAGAGTTAGCTAATTAATACATTCCCTCAATTCTTATCACAACAGTAGAGCAGATTATACTCTTAATAAATAAATGATAAAATGAAAATCATAATTGGATTGGATATAAACCTGGTTCAAGAATAAGTCAGTATAGGTAATATAGAGGAACAACAGAAAGTTCATGTTAGGAATCAAAATATAAACAGAAAAATCCATTTGGTGCTCGGAATGCCAAAGAATTCAAAGGCATTCAGTCATGGAAAGAAATATAGTCCATAAATTCAGGTTTTAATGATGTGAGGCCTTAGTCCTTAAACTGCAGTCATTAATGTTTTTAATTAAATCAGAGGCCAGATACACAGCACCCCAGTTGAATTATAAACTCTTGTTATAAATAATCCAGACATAAATTTAGTATGCTTTACCTAAATGTGCTAGTGTGACATTGAAAATGGAGAAAACACTTTTTTCTGGAGAATATGAAGTGATCCCAGCATAAAAAGCTACTAAGTATCATTTCTTTGTTGTAGTTTGGAATAAGTATGATCTTTGTTCTTACACCTAGGAGAGATGAGTTTATACATTTGTTCATAAATCAGGGATATGAATCAAACTGAAAATTATAAACTTACATATATATGCTCCACTTTCATGGTTCTCTATGAAAGAAGTCTAACAGAATTCTAAAATTAACCTTTGATTTTATGACTTTTTTTAATTTAATAATTTAATTGAGGGTCAGCAACTTTTTCTATAAAAGACCAGGTAGTAACTATTTTAGGCTTTTCGAGCTGTATGGTCTCGGTCTACTCAACTCTGCTGTGCAGCCATAGACAATATGTCAGTGAATGAGCCTGGCTGTGTTCCGGTAGAACTTTATTTACACAGGAGTAGATGACAGGGTGGCTGTGTCCTTCCTGCAGAAGTTTGCAGTTTCCTAATATAGCATGAGTGACATTTAAACCAAATAAGTCCAACTACATACATGATGGCTCACTAACCAGCAATAAAAATAATGACGTTTTTCCTTTTTTCCCCTTATTTAAGTAAACTAAAAGATTCAGAGAAGAAGAACTTGGAACTACTATCAGAAATCGAACAACTGATAAAGGACACTGAAGAGCTTAGATCTGAAAAGGGTATGAGAATGTGTTTTACATCACTCAGGACTTAATGTTCTGTTATGAACACAAGAATCAGCTTACAGTCATGCGTCGCTTAGCGACAGGGATACAGTCTGAGAAATGCGTTGTTAGGTGATTTTGTCATTGTACGAACATCATAGAGTGTACCCACACAAACCTCGATGGTATAGCCTACTACACACCCAGGCTATATGGTACTAATCTGAGGAGATCATTGTTGTTTATGTGGTTCCTTGTTGACCAAAACGTCCTTGTGCAGCGCATGACTGTATTGTGTTGGGGGGAGAACTGTCCACATAAGCAATTCTGGCACTCATTTGTGGATATATGTATGTATATCTGATATAACACACATACACACATTTATTACACTGGTCTCTGAGTTATTTTGTTTTACTTAATATACACTGTTTAAAAGATTTCATAGTAACAGAAAAACACATTTTGCCATAAATTTGACTGTTTTCTCAGTGCCATGGACTTTTTCATGAATAATATTTTTGCAATTGGAAAAAAATTACTTTGGAAATTGGAAAAAAAAATTTTATAATATACTGGTGAAGAATTATTTTGGCATTTCAGTGTCTTCTTCCATGTTTGATTCTTAAATTGCTTGCCCTATGGGATTTCCCAGGATTTATTTCCATTTTCTTGAAAATATTACTTGACCATTTTTCCATTAATGTAAAAAGTAACTCAGAGTACTTGGTAGCTCTATTACATGAACTTAAACTTTCTTTCCATAATGTGGGCATTAATGATGTGAAGATTTAATAAAAAGAAATTCAGGATGTTATTTTCTTAATGAGGGGATCTCTCATATGCACTTAATAGAAATTCATTTTCCTGACAACGTCAGTCTTCCTGACTGAACACTGAACTAGTTAATGGGCTTCATGTTATGCTTCCCTGTCATTTCCTGGTCCTGTGACGGTGATGTAGAGTGGTTGGATCTCTGCGTCTGCTTTTAAAATTGTAGAGGAAGGAGGGTAATCACATAAAGGAGTTAACAGGAGAAAGCCATTAAAAGTAGTGGATATTGAATAAATTTTTGTTCATTGAGTTTCCTAGTGAACAAGAAAAGAAGGAACCTAGAAAAATTAGGATCTCAGATTAGGAGCGCAGGGCATCGTGCCAAAATGAGAGTCAAGCTGAGCTTTAATACGTGAAGGTGGAAGGGAGCTGCGTCATTTAGGGAGCTGCGTCATTTAGTGAGTAGAGGAGAAAGAATATATAAGACGGGGAGGACCTGTGGCCCTAAAAGCAATTTATACAGAAAAGAGACCAGTGCGGAGTATGACTCAGTGTGACACACCAGATAACGCTGACCACGTCATTTTTAGAATAGATCTAAACTTGCGAAAGGATCACACTGCCTCGTGAGAGCATATTCACCTGTGGCTTTTTATTTGGATTTTGAACGTTGCAGAGTAATAAAACTTCACTCTATGTTGTAACATAATGTACTATACTACTTAAATAATATAATATTTACATAATAAGGGCAAGGACTTTTTTTCTGCTTTGTTTACTGTTATATCCCCAGTACCTAGACAGGGTTTGGCACGTAGTAGGCTCTCGATAAATATTTATTGACTGAATGAATTTCTGAACATATTGCCTTATCTAGCAACTATGGTATATTATTGGAGAGTAATACAAAAAACACACAAAGTAATTGATGTCAGTGCCTAAGGATGTGGATATCAAAAATGTGTGCTTGGTTGTTTCTGCTTTTTCCTTCCTAGTATTTATCATTATATATATTTTTTGAGATTTCTTTTGGAAATTATGCATTTAAAGTTAATACCATAGCCAAGAGATATGCATGAAATTTTTTTAATTCATCTGAGAAAAAGTAGGGTTTGGATTCTTCATTCTGTCAATAAAACAATACCCAAAATCAGATTGAGGCCTTGACAAAAGTTTTTTCATAATTAAATACATTCATTTTATCACTGCATTATATTCTTATAAAAGATTATTTATATTAGTGAGAGCATACTATATGCTTGATAAGAATATTTAGAAAGAGAAACTGCGTTTGGTGATAAATTAGCTTAGAAAAATCAGACGTAACCAGGGCCCTATTTTTAAAATTCTCTCAAGTCTGTCAAAAGATTTGATGTGTTTTTTATGATGTACTATATGGGAAAAGAAAGAAATTCAAGAACTCAAGTAAGTCAAGAAACAAATACTTCATGTAGACTGATACAATTTAATTATTAAGTGATATTCCAAGAAACACTAATGTATTTTAGTTTTTTAAATATGTCGAGTTAATAATATTGATCATCTTTAAAATATGGTAGTTTGTGAACAGCTTTTAATAGATTCAGACAGGAAAGGTTATCCATGAAAATTAGTTTTGATTGTTGTAGTTTTAAAAAAAAGTTGCTGCTGTCTTCTAGGTATAGAGCACCAAGACTCACAGCATTCTTTCTTGGCATTTTTGAATACGCCTACCGATGCTCTGGATCAATTTGAAGTAAGTGTCAAACTTTTCAGATATCCTCTGTGGTCAATTTAAAATTCACTTTGTGATTTAAAATTCACTTGCAATAAAACTGTTTTATTGCATCCTACATAAGAGGACCTAGAATCTTCTATAAACAAAAACGTTTTAGGAAAGCAATATGTTCTGCATTCTTATGGAAACTCTAATCACATTTGCATTTAAGAAAAATCTAAGAAAGGTCTAAATATGAGAGGCATTATAGGATTTAGAAGAAATTTCGTCTCTTCCCCTGAGAAACGGTGAGTGCAGTACAAATCCTAACTTTGAAGTAATTTTGACACTTTTCTTTTTTCTCTGAAGCATAGAGCCACAGTAAAAACAAATGAAAATGTCAGAGCTAACAGTAGGGCAGTACTAGTTCTAGTTCAAAATCAATTCAGTTTTTTAGAAGTGTACAATAGGAATGCTTTTTGTTAAAACTATTCCATAGAGTATATTTGGCAGATTCCATAATAATGTAATAATGATTGTATGACTCTGTCCTTCTTTGGAAAAAAAATTTTATAATATAAAGTATATTTTTGTCTCAGAAAATTTCAGTTAGTGGTTATTTCCTTATTCAGCACATATTTGTATCACTCTGTGCAAGGCACTGTTCTAGGTGCTGGAGATACGGTAGTGACCGAATAGACAGAGTCCTGCCCTCAATGAGCTTACCTTCTAGTGGGAGCAATGAGTGGCAGAGATTCTGTGGCTTGCTTTTAGTTGTTACCTTCTAAAGTGTTTACATTTAATTTGATTATTAATGATTTGCCATAAGCTTTATTTTATTACATTTTGGGCACAGTGTGTGAATTATATCTCATTCCTTTGGGAGAGGGAAAAAGAATCACTCTTTAAAAAGTAATTGATTAATTTCTAAGTTTCTTGAGAAACAGTGACAGTGACTGCTTTTCTCATTTATTTATTTGAATTAATGTCATTTGCCTTTCAATTGTTTTGCAAAATTTTTGATTTATTATTTGTTCTTATTAAATTGCTTCATCCATATTTTCTATTTTTTTATTGCTGTATTCGTTAAATAGGATTCCTTTTCTTCTTCCTCATCTTCACTGATTGATTTTTTGGATGACGTAAGTCTTTGATTTTCAAACCAATGCATCCTTCAGTAAAAGAGATCAGTGAATTGATATGAAGAATTTGCCTAGTAATGCAGTCAGTTTTAGAAATATCACACTTGATCATTTATTTGTGAGCCAAAATTTGCTTTTTTCTTATCTTAAATATAATGAAGAGTTTGTCATTATTAAAGATAATAAAGTAAAAGCATACTTTGAAAAATGCTTTGACCATCAGAGAATCTCTGTATTTCCATTCTTTGCAACAATTCCGAAGACTGGAATGTTTATTGATTATTGTCACTATATAGATATATATAAATAATTGCTCATTTTTATTTTTCATGGTGATTTCTATTTCACATTCCCCTTTTCTTTTCAGCCCTTTACTCTTTAATTTCTGTATTAGTTAAAAGTAAACCTCTGGTGGTATAATCAGAAAAAGTGACATGTTTTATTAAATCTTCCAGTAAATTTTATTGTAGCACAATATTGAGTAGAAATCAATTTTTAATGCTGGCAACATTTCTCCTCTAGTGTGGAAAGTGATTTTAGTCATATGCACTATTTGCACTATAAATTGACTGCATTATCATTTTCTCTCCTAAATTAATTCTATAGATTTAATAATTTAGAAGTTCCTAATGTATATCATTCCTTCTCTTTACAGAAATACCTGACAAATACATTCTCTCTATTCCACATTAAATGGCACAATAATTCTTGTCATAATGCTTTTTATTATCCTGTTGAACATTCGATCTTTCCAGAAATCGGGAAATAAAATGGGTTCAAATGCAAATATTGTGCATAGAACTGTTTTTTAAACAGGGAGAAATTCTTTAAATGTGTTATTTTGTGTGTTTTGGTAAATATAATTCTTATATTCAGAAGAGTATTTAGCATAATTTTCTGCTAAAGGAAACCTTGATCTAGATTTTTTAAATTATTTTTAAGGAGTTTTTTTTTATATCTTTTAAATATTTACACCAAGGTGTGCACCTTTTCATTCTAAATGGAAACTATTTTATTATTCGTGAGACAAATAATTATTCTAGTTAATTCTACAATGTGATAAAAAGAGAACTTGTTTGATGTACAGTCGTATTTCATGCTACAATCTGCTGCATATTTTACTATACTAAAATGCTCAGTGTGGTATTTCAATACAGACACATATCATTCACCTTAAAAAGAATAGCAAGGAAATTTGAATAAATTACTTTAGTTGTTCTTTCCACCAGAAGACCATTTTCATTTTTCTGACAAACTCTTCTGTACATCCCCTTTTCTCCCACAAAAATCTTTGAATGTACAACATAGGAATGGTATGTATTTTGGCGAACAGGTTAGCTCTTCTCAGCAGAAGAGCCTGCAGGAATGCCACCACAGCCCGCTCCCATCTGTCTCAGCTCTCACGTGCTGTCTCCCACCACCACCACCCAGCCGCAGTGACTGTTTGCCGCTCTCACTTTCCCCCAGGAGCACCCTTCCTTATCCTTCACCCACTGTCACTCAGCAAAGCTCAGTTCAAATGTAAAACTAATTTTTAAAGCAGTACAAACTTTAAATAGGAACTCCTATTGTAAAGTGAAAGGGAGTTGAGTTCACAAAGCCTGCTGAAACTTTGTGATTCAGGCTGCAGCTCGTAAAAAGCAAGATTTTTCCCTCATTTGCTTCCTAAGCTCTCTTCTCCCAATTTATTGGTTAAACGCATAAGCTGACTCAAAGCCTGCCTCTACCACTTTCTCGGTGTATGATTTGGAGCAAGTTAGCTAACCTTTCTTTGCCCCAGTTTGCTCCTCAGACAAACAGGGATAATAATAGTTCTAATCTCATAAGGTTGATGGAGAATTTAAAGAAACGATGTATGCAATGCCCTCAATAACATCAGTTATTGTTTCCTTACTCTTAATAGGCCAGTTCCCTCCCTTCCTGTGTTCTCTTTAGCTCTCTTTCTTGAACATAAATTCAATTTCACTTAAATGCTGTCTTAGCTCCTCACTGCTCAGCTTTCCACCCACTGCCCATACGAATCACTGCACTTTCCTCCTCAATTGTCCAATCACATTACTGTTAGAAAGTGATTTTCACCTGTCAGGTCAAAGGCTGGCAGTCAGCTCCCACTTAAAAAAATATTTTGTATTCTTAATTCATATTTTATAGCATAAACCTCTTGTTTCTCTTTATAGTTTATAGCTATGACCACCCTTCCCAGAGTCATCATCCATTTCATCCTCAAAGTCGTAATAGAATCTGTCTTGAATAGCGGTATTCAATCTTTGGCATGCTTGGGTTCATCATCCAAGACGTTTAGTATAAAACTCAAGTTCTGTAGCTTCCTTTCTCTTAGGCATTTGGATTCTTAAGGAATAAAACAAATCTTAATTGTTCTTTGTGCCAAAACTGGTTAGATTGTTGTGCATGATGCTTACTATATGTGACTGCCCTCTATAGTAAGTAGACTATTAACTAGCCCATAGAACACATCCTCTGGTCATTCTTTTCTGTTTTCTGTCTCATTACTATAGAAAAGCAAAAGATCATGTTAAAGACCTAAAGTTTGAATTGCAGCTGGAACTTATAGGTATGGGAGAGATTGAGGCTAGTATTAAGCAAAATCGCAGAAATCAACTTTTCTTTGGTGTCCACACATCATTGACTTTCTCCGTCTGCCCCCATAGCCTCGTGCCTCATACTGCCCTCTGATTCTGCAGAGCTTTACCGCCAGTGCCTCCCCTCCTCCAAAATTACCTTCTGCTTTTTTCCTTAACCTTCCCACACAGGCCTAGTAAAACTAGAATTCCTTTACTTAAAGCAGTACACATAATCACTCTCCCACCTCTAATTTTTTCTCAGTATGTTTTGCCTGTTAATTCAAAATTCAAATGACGGCAAGGATTTTGGGCCATATGGGAAGACATTCAGAGCAAGATGCGTTCCTTTTAAGTTACACTGTTTAGACAGCTCTTTCTGTGTGTAAGAGTAGCCTTTACAGAAGAAAAGGAGTATGTGTAACACCAGTCCCTTCCTTCCCTCTAATCAGGCAAAGCAGGATACAGTCTCAACACTCTCTTTTGTAACTCAGGAGAACTTGGACATTTGGGCTTTTCTACATGTAGAATCATAGACTTTTGAAGGAACAACCAACATTAGAAAATACTTAGTCCAGTGGTGTTAACCATTATTTATCACAACACGCTCCCGTTAGTAAAGTGGATAGGTTACTCTCCCATTAGTAAGAGTGACTTTTTAGGATTCTCAGTCTTTGGAGGAATAGGGAAGTGGTGATAAAGGGGTTATGTATGACATTCTTTAGGGCAGATAAAAGGGGGTTTTAGTTAATTTTAGAAGAAACTGAGACCACTTTGATAAGTAGTCTCTTGGATAAGTCATTTCCATATGAGGTATTAAAACAGCAGTAGAACAGACACCAGGATCCCATCTGCTGTGGAAATTATTCCCTCTTCTACCCTCATCCTTTCTCTCAACCCTACATGCCCAGTCCTGGCCTTCCTATGATTACTCCATATTCAGCCCAGCCTCTTACTCCAGGTAACAGACAGAGTGAGGGGCAAACGGAGCTCAGCCGCGTGGGCTTCCCCCATCTGTGCCCTTCCTCCCGGTGGTGACTGATCCTGGGATCATCAGACCAAGCCTACAGGAACTTCCCATTCTGTTCAGTTCATTCTCTTCTTTTCAAATGAACCCCCAAAATGCTGGGCTTGACTGTATTAAAGGTAATACTAATCATAGCCATAGAAATGAATTACTTGCTCTGTATATTTGATAAACATATTGTCATATATTAAATACATGCCAAGGAGGTTTTGAGTTTTAGTAAATGACAATTCTACACTCTGCTCATTTAGGCCAAGTTCACAAAAATGGAACTTGCCCATTTACTTGGCAAATGAGAGTGTATGAACTTGCGTTTTAGAGGTTGTCTTAACTCTAGTGTACTGAGGAAAGAGTAAATGGAGGAAGTAAAGCTCTAGAATGTAAAGGTCAGACATAAAGGAATAGCAATAGCACCTCTAGTCCAACTGTCTGGTCTTCCTAATACTGTTTTCTTTTCTTGTATTCTGGCATATTAAGAGAAGCAAGTAGTGGCAAGCTGAGTTCTACTCTTGGTTTTGGCCTCATATAAAATCTTACTAAGATGTCCCAAAATATTTTATTTCAGTCTTGGCTCCTAGCTTTCTTCATTCATCTCTTGCTTTTAACATTGTTCTCTCCCCTAGCTTCTTTCATAATCTATCATAACCAATCACAGATATCTGAGGCCTGGTAGCATAGTTTTAGCTGTATCTGGGGAAAGTTGATTATACATGATAGTCGGTGGAAGACAGAATTTTAAAACATGTGTCATAAAGATACTTTCATCGTATGACCAAAACTAGGCCTACATCCTTCTGAGAAATTATGGCAATCCTGAAATTTTCTCCTTCAGTTCTTGTTTTTTAAAACTTCCATCCACATATGAGGCACAACCCAACTTAAAACTCACATTTCAGAAGATTGTCATATACAATCCATGCCTAATTTAGGCAATATGTTATATTGTATATATTATATATGTATTTTATGACATATATTATATTGTAATATTCTTGGGCAATCTAGAGGGAAAGAACCATGACTACATAATCTTTTACCTCTTCGGTATTTTATTAAATAAGACCTCTGGAATTCATTAACTGAACCTTAAAATCTATTATCCAAATTATGTGTCCATAAGATAAATTACTTCTTTGAGTTTCTGCTTGTATGCTTGCTTCCATAATCAGCCTTAAAGTTCTGGTGGCAATTTATAGACCTAGATATAAAATACATATTTTTAAATGGTATATGATTGCATATTAAGACAAGTACTGGTTTCCAGTGTTTGCTATGAGACCAATTTCAGTGTTTATAGAAAACCGTATTGTGTGGGAGTGTGTATGAGAGAGAGAGTGTGTGTTTTTCTCTAATTGCACCATCAGGAAAAAGTGTAATTTGCCCTTGTCTATTGAAAACATATAAATATGTCTGATTTCTAAGTAGATACTTTGGGAAGAACATTATTACTACGGTGATTTAGTATCACTATTAGCTTTATACATTGCCAGCTTAGAAAATGTGTGGTCCTTCATATGCGAAGATAGTTTTGAGAGACATTTTGGTTTACTTTTAGTATAGCGGTAATGTATTTACTTTGAGCTATTTATGCTCTTTTTCATGGTTTTAGCATACTCCAGACTCTGGGCTAGAAGTAGGGATAGCCAAAAAGTAAAGGTTTCTCTACGTTAAACATTTTAGCACTTTTTAAATGTGTGGTACTATACTATGCACAATGGTAGGTACTAAGACGTATCAGACGTAGAACTAGACCTCAAAATGCTTATCTTATTAGAAAAAATAAATACATAGTTGTGTGCTGTGTGATACAGAAGGTGATAGAGGCCATAAAAATATTTAGGTTAAGTATTGTGGAATTTCAGAAGGATTCATTCAGTATTTATTAAGAATTTTTAAATTTACAGGCTTTATGCTAAGTATAGTACAGTATTTCCTGCCGTTAAGGATCTGAGTCTGGTGGAAAAGACAAATATCTAAATAAATAATTATAACACCCTTGGGAGAAGTACAATAATTAAAGATACGGACTGCATATCGTGGGAGTGTAAAGGAGAGATAGCTAACTGAACCAGGAGGGGCCAGAAAAGCTTTCTGAAAGAAATAATGCCTGAGCGGGCCCTTCACTGATGAGTATGGTCGGCAAAATAAAAGACAGGCTGTATAAGAGGAGTATATTCTAGGCAGGCAGAGCCCTAGTTGGGGAGGGAGAGTTTACTGAAAGCAAAAAGAATGAAGCAGGAATTGGAAAGAAATTAGTTTGAATCGGGGCCAGAACCAGGATGACTTTATGTTCCATATTGTGGAGCTTAGATGTAATCAGTCCCGTATGTAATCATTATTAAAAGGTTTAACAGAGGGGAAAGATGACCGGCTTCATTTTGGACAGGTTCAAGGTGCCTGAGGCACATCCATGTGGAGATGTCCAGCAGGTCGTTTTCTATATGAGTCAGAAGCTTTAGGGAAAGGAGTGAACTGACAGTAGAGATTTGGAAAAGATCAGCGTAGTTGAAAGTGGGCGAAATCTCTCCAGATCACAGCGTGAGAAAAGCAGTGAGCCAGAACAGAAACCTGGGACCTCTCGCACTGAGACGGGGTGGAGGACTAGGACCCCCAGGAGAGAAGGAGGAGCAATGCTCAGAGGGGACAAGGTTACTCAGGAAAGTCTCATGTCACAAAAACTAAGGGAGTAGGGAGTTCTAAGGAGGTACAGCCGAGATGGCGGGTAGAATAGGACAAGCAGGAAATACTGATCTTAGCATTTCGTTAGAGTGATCAGAGCTGGATCCGGATTGCACGGTATTGAGAAGTGAACGGAGAGGCTGGGAAGTATAGACAGGGATTGTGTACTGTCTCTGAGAAGTCTGAGAAGGTTTGAATCCAAGCTCCACCACTTACCAGGTTTGTGACCTGTGGCAAGTTGTTTCCTTCATGTTTAAGATGGGGATCTTAATACCTACCTGATAGGGTGTCTGTGAAAATTAACAGAGTTAATATGTGTAAAGTACCTTGAAAAGTATCTGTATATATTATATACATGATAAATATTAGCTATTTTCATTATTAGGGAAGAGAGGGGAGAGATTAAATGTTAGCTAGAGGAAGCGTTGTGGGTTGAGTTGTTGAATGTTTGGTGGTTTGGTATGGGGGAGCATGAGGGGAGACAGTTAGTTCCTATTAGTAACTGAGGGAATATAACCAAGTTTGACCCTGAGACTTTAGCCTCCACTGTAATGGAAAACTGACTGGACTAAGAAACAAAAACTCGTTTAGAAATCTGCAGGCCTTCTAATCTTGGTTTGCTGTGAACTCTTTGGGACACAGTGTTCAAGTCACCTTCCATTCCAGTTTCCTATAGAAAGAAATAATAGTTCCTGTTTACCAATCTGCCAGACTTATTATACAAGTAAAACTGATAATCTTGAATGATGTTTCTTATTTTTGAAGTTTTCTCTAAAATCTTCTATTAACTCCTGTAGACTCAGTTTATAAATTCCCTCCTCTAGGTCCCCATGAAAATCTTGAACATCCTTCCTCCAGGCTCACGTACAAACTTTGTACATATCTCAGTTAATAGCATTTGTCACATTGTTGATGGCTTGATGTCTTCCCCACTAGTCTGTGAACTGCAATGTCTTCTTTATCTTTTAAGTATCTGATGTATTGTAAATCCTCAATAAATGTTAGGTTGGATTGAATGTAGGAAATTGCCTTAGTAGATATGGTTTATATTTATGAATCTCGACTGCTAAGCATCACAAGCTTCATCCAAAACTTGAAAAATATTTTGATATAATTGTTACCTACTTATTGTTATTGTTACTTTTTCCTAATTGCTCAATTCTTTAGTGTCAGAGAGGTGAAGGTCCCTCTTTTGACTAAGCCTAACATCTAGTCAGGATGGACAATATTGTTGAAATAACTGGTTTTGTCTTAATACGTTATCAGTAATTCTGAAGGCCTAATTTAGCTTTTATTGTTTAAAAGAATCATCTTTGAAAAGAGTGAGAATTTGGTAGGTAAATCTCTGAAGCAAAACTAGTTAACTAAATATTGTATTAAATGTTTACCAGCACTAAATCAGAGTTATTGAGATCCTTTTTGTTCTCACATTTCAAGTTGCTACAACCAACCTTTCCAGAAAAGAAATTGTCCATCACTTGATGGAGCATTATTTTGCAGGTCACTCTTTGTGCAAGGTCCAGTGAAAACTTTATCACTCTTAGACCTAATCTGAGCAACTATTTCTTCCCTGTCCTATCCTCCAGTTTTTCCTGAAGATACATGTACTTTCAACCTATCAAAAATGTGTCTATATGTATGTTTATATACTTTTTGTCTGTTAATGCAATAGTAGTCACTGAGAATCATGTGTGAGTATTTGTAACATGTAGTCTTCTCCTTTCTCTGTTGAAGCGCTCTCCATCCTGTACTCCAGCTAGCAAAGGCAGACGTGTAAGAGACTATTGCACTTGTGTACCCATCCTGATGCCCTCTACCCTACTCTTTTCCTTTTGCCTGTGGTTGCAGAACACGCTAATGTTTTGTGATGTGTTATGACACATACTGCATGCTTTGTGCTGCTGCTCCTACTGTCGCTACTCTGCTTTTCTGTATTTTCTTTTTTTGGCTTTGGCCGCAAAGCTTTAGGAATGTTCATATAAATTTCTGTAACCAAGCTACTAAAATTATAAGGTATCTTCTTTATTTTGATTGGGGAAAAAAGTGATCCTAAAGTATGCTTTCTGAATTGATCACATACAAAGTAAATGAGTTTCTAAATAAGAATCTGTTATAAGCAAATATGTAGAGATTTCTTAGACATTTTAATTATGTAGAAAGAAAACTTGGTAAGTCATATTATGCAAAATTCAAAAAAGATTTAGGACAAGTTATTGATCTTATTGACTATAATTGTAAGTCAGTTCAGTTCTGGAGAAATCTTTGATAGAGTTTTTTTTACGTAGTTCAAAGGAATATCCCTAAATATCTTATATGTATAAATTTGAGGCGGTAATATTAATAATCATTTATATTCTAAGATATTTCCAAGATTTTAAAAAATAATTGTAATGTTCTTTATGTACGTATTGATAACAAACTATAAACATCATCCCGTGCTAAGGCTAGCTCAGTGTTTTTCAGTCTGAAATGGGCTGGCCACCACCTCTATCCTGCAAGATTCTGATATGCCCAGAGTGGGGAATCCATTTGTGGAAAGGTCTTCAATTTTTCTAAACCAGCCTCCACTCCAACACCAGGGTACACACTTGCAGACTCCCTGGTTGAGAAGCAGTGGGCTAGCTGACATTGTTTGCTCTGGTTTTCATATATGATGTAAAATAGTAGTATTAAAAAGGAAAGTCTGTGATAGATACAAGTTTTTAACTTTCGCCTATCGGTGAAAGCTTCATGATCACTGGTACTGATCAACACGTTAAATCCAGAATTCTTGAACTTGGAAAGTTCTAGATCAGGGAATTCTCTTGTTTATGGAAGGCATGGGAAGTAGTAGGATGGCCTACTGCTTTCTGTGCTCTTATCTTTCTGCTGTGATGGAGGGTTGATTGTAAAATAAACATAATTAACCCTAATATAGCGCATATTTTCAAACTGCTATTTAATAATCAATAAGCAGTTCAGATACCAGTGGTATGGCCAGTAGAACTGCAGCTTCAATTTATATCTCATTAATTAATGAAGTTTGCAAAAAGATTGCTGGTTCAAATGATTTCTTGCTTATTTTGACATTTTGAGAGAGTTAAAACCATTGGGTGTTTGGATTTACCAGATTACTCTGGGTGTGTGTTAGTTACATCATATAACCTCTAGAAGGGAAGACCAAAATGTTGTGTGCCCAATTATGTTAGGTTCAAATCATCGGCCTGTGAATTGACTAAATTTTTAACTATTTGTTTTTGAATAAGGTTATAATTCAGAGAAGGTTTGTTTTTCTGGTTAAATTTATTATAGATTAGTTATATCTCACTTACCTTGCAGACTTCTAGGGGCCTTGGCCACCCAGAACACTTCTGTAAGTCTTGAAATAAGGAAAAATTTTTGAGGGAAGTTGTGTTACAACTTTTATTTTTTATTATTTTCTGCTCTTTGGGTTTTTTTTTTTTTTTCTGTAGGATGTGAATAAGCCACACTTAAGCAGAGCCTATTGACTTAGAATTAGATTTTTTTCAATGCAGATGTGATAGGCTTGGTAATTTGATTTCCAAGCTTCCCTCAATTTTTCCTTGGTTAAGTATCTGACGTGAACAATCAACCACTGGAAAGTGGTAATGTCTGTGAAGGAGAAGATTGAAGAATTACCAGTTGTTCAACAGTTAAATAGAAACGTCCTAATGGAATAGTGAGGAAACTCAATCGTCCCTGGGAACATCGGTGTCTTACAGTAGGACACAGATAGTTACCACTCCTAACAGTGGCCTTGAATCTAACAGTGGCATACAATTTTATGTTATATACTGTGTGTTTAGACAAGCAAATATGTAATGCTTTTTAAATTTAAAATTCTTTAAGTGACTGTGAAATGTTATATAAATGAGGTATTACTATATAATGTTTACTGTATTTTTATTTCCAGTGTGTTATAAAGCCTTATTTATAATTTGAATACTTATATTCTTTTTATGTGGTGGTATTTAATTAAGCATAGTATAAGAAATATTTCTTATTAATATTACTATTAATGTCTGAATATAAATGGTTATGGGAAGGTCCATAGTGTTTCATTAATAGTGAGAAATACTGGGTGTCTCATTTTAGATTGTTCCTTTAGAGTTTGGAGCACAGATTATAAATAGCTAACACGTAGCTTAACTTTCTTTTATACTTTCTTAGAATATTTGTAAGTTCTCCAGAGTAGATATTCAAAACAATATATTAAACATAAGGAGACATTTTCATAAAGAGAAATCCTGTTACATTAATTGTAACTAGTGAGATTACACTTACTAGTCATAATCTTCAGTAATTTATGATTTGTTTTAGAATGATAAAATATTATATTAACTGTTTTCCAAATAATATAGTATTTCTATAATACTGTTTTTTATCATAAGCTCAATTAACAGAAATAATTATATCGCCAAAGGTTTGTGGTTATAATGTGTTTCTGAATACAAAAAGTTGGATTACTTGCTATTTTGTTTCCAATATACTTATAGTTAAAAGATAGAGACTTACAGTTAAAAGATAGAGACAATCGATGAAAACTGGATTTTTTTCTGTTAGAGTTTTATATTTACCAGTATGAAACAACATCTTAGATGTAAGCTATTTTTTAATCTATATCAAATCCATATCGAATCTTATTATCTTTTTAAAACCAGATTTCTTATGAGAATGTTTTGCTGCTTGTATTTGTTCAAATCTGTAATTGTTTTTGGTGTAAGAAAGGCCCATTGATACATATTCAAGATGAATAGTTTTAGTTGTTTTTATTATTTATCAGAAGAACATACTGCTTAATTTGAGGAGTTCTTGATTAATAGGTCATCTAAAAGTCAGATCTGATCCAAGGGGAAAACAAGTTTTCTATTTTACCGTACTATTCTAAAAATGCATTTTGTGGATCATCCATTAGAGAAATTCTAATAGATTCAGGAAACATTATGGACTTTGACATGACAGTGTTGTGGCTTGTGGGCAGTACCGCTGATACTCAGTTTTCTGCTTTTTTTCCCCCAAACAGAGCAGTAAGTAAAAATGACATTGGAGTATAGTAGACTTTTCTAATGTCTACTCATCAGAATAACTCCTTAAAGTATGTTTATTTAGAAAAAAGAATTAGTTAAAAAATAGGACAAGTCACATTTACATAAAGATATTCCTTATTTATTTTTCTCAGTGGATTGCTGCTTAGAAACATTGAGTGAATTGCTTATACTATTCTGTTAAGATTTGTTTCCAAGATCTTTCTTTGGATAATATCAAAATATACTATACAATTAATATTAGCTATTTATTGCTTTTTACTTTCTATTTCCTCTTTTTTAATCATTCTTTCTATAATCATAAACCCAATTAATGAATTAAGATATCTCTGCTATTGATGTATATCATGTTTATTAGCTTTTCCTGCATTATTAATTCAAGTCATTGCTTATATATTTAGTGCTATATTTTTCATAACACAAAGAATTTTTTAACTTCCATGGTTTAAGTATAATATTAATGATTATATTTGTTTTATTAGGTAAAAATAACTAATGTGCCATTAATCGCTTTGCTGCCATATTATATCTGAATTATTGCCAATTAATTATTAAAATTTCTTTTAGGCTATCTGTAAATCTTAGCATATAGTCATTGAGTATTCTGAAAGTTTAGTAAAATTAATTGCTTTTCAGTGGATAGAATAAGCCGTTAATTATAAATGCATTGGTAAACATTTAATTATAGATAAAATTAATAACATCTTGGAAACTATAGTCCTGTTGGTGATAATTGATACTTTGATAAAGAAAATATGTAAGTGGTATTATATTTTTTTTATTCTTACTGTTAAACCTCTTTTGAGATATTGTTTACACCTGCAGTAATCCAGAAAGGAAATGAAATATTAAAACTATTAATCTAATTAGCTATTAGCTCCTAGCAGAGTCTTTTAAAAGACCTGGAAATTTTTTTTTAGTTGGATATTCAAAACTTTTTGCCATGAGTTTATTCATCTTTACCAAACTTTGTTCCTTGTCTTTATGAGAAACACACTTTTCTCAAGAGTAGTAATTTTAAAATTTCACTCATATATTCAAGTTTTTCTTTTTAACATTGCAAATGGTATCATTCAACTTTTAATATACTCAATGCCATCTCAAAATATTATTCCAATAGTTTTACTTACTTTAATTTTAATTTTTATTTTTCAACAAAAACTAACTTGATATTTGTTTAATCTCTAGAATTTATTTTTACTTTAAGAGCTTACAGCTCTAAAAAGCTAGTATGGTAATTTTCATTATTTTATTACAGTTAGTATTGGGTTATTTTTTAAATTTAAATGTTTTCCTCTTCTGAATAACCAGTTTTTACCTCATTCAGCTAAGAAAGTCATTTTTAAATCTGTTCCCATTCCTGTTGTTTTCTTTCATTTTTATTGATGAGTAAAAACTTGTAGAAGAAAAGGACTTTCATAAATGACAATAAATTCTTCAAAAGGGCCAAGAGGTGTGTGTTACAATCCTCAAGAGTTCATTGAGTCCCTAATTTGTGTGATCACAGATTAAATTGTGATAGTGTATTTTTTCCTTTTCATGGAGTAAACCTCCCATTAGAGCACATACTGACAACATGGCTTAAGGCAATGTATTCTAATTTCAGCGCAAGAAAGTATATAACAGTGTGCTCAACTGGCGTCAGCATGTGTGCGCGTGGCTCAGAGAGCAGACCTGTTTTAAAATTGCAGCCAGTACTATTGGAAACAGCAAGCTCTTGCCTTTTCC